TTGGAAGAGCCCCAGTACGCGAATGAGGAGTGATTGAGAAAAAAATATTGACATGTTTATTTAAATGCTGCAGAATTTGAGATTGAAAGCAAATGTGGAATGACTATGAGTGAAGAAACATAAAAAAAAAGGGGGGGGGGGGCAAAAGTGGCTAAAGTTGAAAAAAAAAAACTGAAAAAAAGGGCCAGGCACTGGCTTCGTCTAAATCCGCGTCTAGACGCGAAGGCAGACGCGACCAGGCCCGCCACAAAATAAAAAAAACAGTGAAGCGAATTGTTAAATTTTTTTGTTTTTTTTTCTTCTTTAAAAAACGTATATTAGTTATTTCTAATAGCCATATTCCCCAATTTTCGCAACCCCCCACCCTCGTTCTGACATTCTGCCAATCCAAGATCAGTAAGTAATTGCTTGTTAGGTTTTTTTTTTTGTTTTCCTTTTCAATTTTCGTACAGTGTTCCGTTTTGTTTCTTCACATGTATCAATTGCGGTGCACAGTGGTTCCGTTTTTTTTTGTTGTTTTTGTTGTTTTTGTTTCATATAGTTTCGTTACCACCCCTCCCCCCTTGCGTCAGTTATAGTATGTTCTCCTGTTTTTGCAATTTCTTTGTTATGGGTTACTTAGGTTAGAAGTAATTGAATTGTGAATTTGGAGCCATAATTTCTCTAGATTTTGTTGTTGTTATTCATAGTGAGGTAAAAACTACAATTCCCACTACCTCACTCAAATTGGAGGGCAAAGCACATGTTACATGCTTTGATACATGAGGTAGAAATTATGCATGATCAAGATGTTCGACAAATTGCCCGGTTGGAGAATTTTGTTTGTTTTTTGTGAAGTCTGAGTAGCAAAACTCATTGTTGGTAATATGAACATCTCTGTGGAGTAACTGAATAAAAAGAAGACATTTAATTTTTTTTTAAAAAAGGGTTTAAATAAAGAAGAAAAACAAGAACCTGCCGAAAAAAGGGGGTTTTTTTTCTGGCCCCCCGGCCCCGTCCAAATCCCCAACCCTTCGTTTTCATTCCCGGCGATCCTCCTTTGTTTCGTCTCTCTTCTCGGCCGAAGGCTTCACTTGGCCTGTACTAGAGCCCCCTGATTTTGGATACCCACGATTTATGCTTATTTTGTCCCTTTTGCAGCTTGAGAAAGAACACATGCGAAGTTATCACATTTTCTTCGACTGCCGGCTGCAAGAAGTATTATGTATTTTAGTTGTGATAATGGAGCCTCGTGCAGATATGAACCTTTGATCAGAACATCTGGAGGTAATTGATTTCCTAATTCCACTTGCCTTTTTTTGCTGCTTAAAACAACTGTTGTCTTTTGGTTCAATGAGAATTATACCTTCGTAAGTTATTAACCATGAAATATTCTGACTGCTTGCTTGTTAATAGATCTGAATGATCAAATAGCAATGCAATTATATTGCCAGACAAGAAAAGAAGAAGTGAAGACAAAAAGGAACAGGTAATAAACAGAAAATCAATATGTATATACATGTTTGAAGTCTTCACAGATGACCGATTGCTTTTATTTTTTTCCATATTCAGGTATCGAAAAAGCGTTTAAACGAAGAAAGTAACATTAAGTAACGTCAATCTCAGAAAAAAAAAGCTAGAGAAACTCGATGTAAGGATCCGATGAATGTTCATGTTTTCTTTTTTGTTAGTACTTACTTATTCGTTGTCATCTTAGTTTTGGACTTTGAATAAATTCAGTCTTCCTCAAATGTAGGAAGATAAGGAAGAAATCAAATCCTTTTAGCTGAAAGCATTAAGACACTTTTGGAAAGTAAGAATCTCTCATTTGCTTGGACGAGCTATTTTCTCTTTAAGTATTTCAGGAGATTGTTTTTTTGTTGGATAATGATAAATAATTCCCATTCAGGAAGTATAGAATCCAAATGATCTTTATTCACTTATGTGGTGTTCAAGGAACTTGGGTAAGGTTTTTGTAATGTCCATATTTACTTTACATGTGAAAAGGTTGTTAGACTTATAGCTCTAAAATCATGCCCCGTATGCTGTTAGGGTTGAAACTGCCGAGAGAACGTAGGAGCAGAAGGCAGTTTCTATGCAACGGCGGGGTTAGAAAATGCCACATAGAAGATCGACCAGTCAAGAAGAGGACAGCAAACAGCCTAACTGAGTGATTGTCTTTGGATGATATCTAACAAAAATGATCGAGTCCAATAGTCAATAGCAATCTTTTGCAATCTCCTTAGGAAAAGGTGAAGTCCAAAGTGAACCACTTGGTACCTCCAGGGTCTCCTGAAGATTGACTTCTCAGAGTGGACTTTTAGTTTGCGGAGGAGTATGCTTTCGGTGCAAAATAAGCAAGAAGAGGATAGAACTACAGAAATATTTAAAGTTCAGATTATCAGCAAGATCATCCATCTATTTGTGGATTGTTCATAACGAAGAACAGAGGAAATCAATGGTATTGCTTCACTCTCAGTTTATACAGCCTTTTATTTGTGTCAACCATATACTTGGTACCTAATTTTTCGTTGAGGCTCTCTCATATGCATTGTCATCCTTGTTCTGTGTGGGCACTTCATATTGAACAGGATGGTTACCAAAGGATATCAAAATGCCATTTCTGAGCAATAGTAGCAACTCGGCTAAACAGTCTTCCTCAAAGAGCGCTTTAACAACTCCAACTGTGGTGCACGTTTCAAGACCAAAGGAGGTTGAAAATAAGAGGAGCGATCTCTGCGAGTAGTCCATGATGGAACAGGAGATAATGAGAATCTATATGAAATGAGAACACATGTTGTAATAGTTTGTGGGTGAGACAGTTTGTGGTCAAGACAACCCAAGTTCCTCAGGTGAGATATTCTATTGTTCTCTATATGCTTCCTGTGAGAAAGCACAGGAGAAAAATATTATTGATATTATTTTCTCATATGATTAAACATGATACAATGATCCCTAATAATATATATTATATATATATATATATATATATATTATATATATACATAACATGTCCTACTCAGGGTTATTTACTACTATTTAGTATTTACATAACTATTCTAACACTTCCTTTTCCTTCGGTTGGTAATATAGAGTTCTATTATTTTCATTCTTCTTAATTTTTAGTTTTGTTTAGTGTTTTTATCTCTTGCCTTTGGTTTGGGATCTTCAGTTCCTTTATTGAAGCTGGCTATGTTCAAATCGTTCCAATGGTCGTGGTGGTATTATGTGGTGTGACTCAACACGCCGTTTGCAGTACTTGCAACTGCCAAATCGAGTGGCATTTGAGCTTGGTTTTAGTCTTGGCAAAGAGGTTGGTTTCCAAGTTAGACATGACAGGAGGATAGGAGACGAATTGCTCCATAAAGTTCATGACTGATGGAATTTTGCTTCGGGAACTGCAGGTAAGATGTCAGTATTAATGTCTAGGTAAATTGAAATCTTCGTCCCTACCTTTTAAGTGCTTTATATTTTGTCCTTACTATGAAAAGGGTGCACACCATTGAGTGCTAAATATTTAAGAAAAGGTTGAGAAAAATTAGAGCAATACCTTGAATAGTGAAATAATTGAGACTTTATTAAATTACTTTCAAAGAAGCAAGAGAGATGTTTCTATCAAATTAGCTGTTCGTTGATTTCAAACTAGTTGGAGTTGGCTATATGAATCCGCTATGTTCATTCCACTCATTAACCCATTTTAATCCAATTTTACACTATTGGCTTTAGAGACAAAGGGTTGCTCTTGATGGTAAGTAACCCCACTTCCAACCGAGAGGTTGTGAGTTCGAGTTCTACCCAAGAGAAGTGGGAAGTTCTTGGAGGGAAGGATGCGGGGGTCTATTTGGAAACAGCCTCTTACCCCAGAGTAGGGGTAGGTCTGCGTACACACTACCCTCCCAGACCCCACTTAAGTGATTATACTAGGTTGTTGTTGTTGTTGTTGTTGTTGTTGTTAACACTATTGGCTTTTGTTTAGGAGTTAAATGTTTTTTTTTTGTTGAGAAAGGTAACAGAAAAGAAGAAAAGTGAACTAGTGACTCCTTTAGTTGTTGAGATAATTGGTGAGGGGCAGTGGTAACCCAGTTTAATTACCAAGACAAAGTTAAGTCGTTCAGAAGTGCGGAACAATAGTAAAATCAGGATGCAGTTCAAAGCATGTTTGTGAATGCAACTATAATCCATGTTTTTGTTTTTTTACCTCTTGCAATGAGAGGGGGATAGTGCTGCAGGTTGATGTCTCATTACAAAATTGTTAATATAATTATTTTGGGAGAAACAAGGATTAGGCACTCCTAGTCATTTTTTGCAATTTGCATATTGAGCCGAATAATGTTAAAAAAAGCCCAATAATGTACAGTTCGAAAATAATTTCAGTTTTATGTGAACAATTCACACATGGACATAAAACCAACTCCTAACTAATCCTTGATGCTTTCCTATAAAACAATAGGATGACTATATGTAAAAAAAATTCCTTTTTTATGTCATTAAAAGAAAAGGATTAAGTTCCAAAATGTTCGGACTCTCTGAATAAGCTATTGTTTGGTAGGGGGAAGTTGAGGGACAAAGAGCTCTACCCCTTTGGCGATCATAGTGAGGGTCATATATCAGTATATTCAAGGAGGATTTGTCCATTCAACTTTTGCGCAAGGAAAAGAGATCCTTTCCGCTTTGTCGTGGTTCTGTTGCTTTTCAGTACTTTTAGTGCCATACTCAACCAACTTTGTTGTTCACTGGTGCAATGCCACTTTACACGAGATATTCAATCCATGCTCCTTTTTGTCCATTATAGATGGTTCCGTCTGGTTTTCTTTTATTCTTTACCAATTTGTGTTTAGTGAGCATTAAGTTTTAAACTCAAGCGTTGCTCGACCTTGCTTTTCAGATATGAGTTAAAATTCTAATTGCATAAACTGGTATGTTGGAGTTATTTTTTGACAGGTAAGTGACTTTATTAAATTTTTTGGTATATGCTCTATGGAGTTAGAACCAAATAGTTGAATGAAATGAATTAACGATTAGTCTAGGACGACGAACATGGATCAAGAGTGTCTATCAAGGCCTTTTTCTTCTTCACTTCAAAGAGGCAATGCACCCTTTGTTTGAATGTTACTTGTTTCATAAAGATTGATTTTTCGAAATTATACATTCTTCTTCATCAAAAAAAAAAAAAGGGTTAGGCGCGAAGGAATAGATATTTGCTATTTGTAGCAGTATCAGATGATCACTTGTCTTACTTGCCTTAGATCCTGCATGTTAGGGTTGTACATTGAAGCGCAGGTTGTCCTATGATTTGTTATACATTAAGGGGAAAAAATGATGTGACTGCAAAGATTTAGTTGTTGCTGTCTTCTAATTTATCTTTTGAGCAATTTGAATTTCCTACTGTTAGTTTTCTTGAATTTGTATTTGGCTATGCAAGTTTATATAATCTTCTTTTGATTTTCTCCTCCCTGACCCTCCACTTTTATGCAGAATGATTTTCTTTTAAGGCGTTACTCGATCTTAATCTTGGATGAGGCTCATGAGAGGAGTTTGAACACTGATATACTTATCGGTATGCTTTCTCGTATAGTAAGAGAGCGTCAGGTGAGAAAATAGTTTGCTATCTCCATAAAGTTGGTTGTCATTTCATTATTCATAGGCGGCTTTAAAAATATTAGTGGTTACTCTCTAAGACTCCAGTTCTCCTTGACTCTCCCCATCCCCCTCCTTTTCTTTAATTACCTTCCTTTGACTTCTACGCTTTTTGACGTTTTTGATTATGTGCTTTATTGCAGAGAGAATATGAGGAGCAACAGAAAAAAGTTCTTTCAAGACAAACGGTAAGCCCCGAAGAGAGAGTATATCCACTGAAACTTGTGCTGATGAGTGCTACACTTCGAGTTGAGGACTTTATATCTGGGCAAAAAATTTTCCGTGATCCTCCGCCTGTAATGGAAGTCCCCACTCGCCAATACCCAGTTACTGTTCATTTCTCCAAGAGAACTGAGATGGTGGACTATGTCGGCCAAGCATATAAGAAAATATTGTCAATTCACAAGAGATTGCCACCTGGTGGTATACTTGTATTTGTGACAGGGCAAAGGGAAGTTGAATACTTGTGTCAGAAGCTGCGCAAAGCTTCTAAGGAGATAGTTGAGAGAGCTTCCAAAGTGGATAATCAGACGTCTTTGATATCTGAAGGGAATACCATCGAGGAAAATGTTATCAAGGAGATAAGTGAGGCATTTGATGATGAAAGGAGTTCTATGACTGAGATAGCTGAACATTTTAATTCCTATGATGAGGATCACGGGGAGATGTATGAATATGAATCAGAAATTTCCTACGATTCAGCAGATGATAGTGATTTGGATGTTTATGGTGATGATGCACAGTTGTTAAACCAGAAGTCTCTGAGCTCTGATGGTAAGTTAGATGTTTTAGGTGAGGAGGGAAGCCTTACATCACTGAAGGCTGCTTTTGAAGCTTTGGCTGGTAAAAGGACATCACAACCTGATTCTGGCGAACAGGAAGGAGCTTCAAATGAATCTGAACCTCTCTTAAGTAAGGTTAGGAATGGGGCTAATGGAACCTTTGCTGGTCCGATGTGTGTTTTACCTCTTTATGCTATGCTTCCTGCATCTGCACAGCTTCGCGTGTTTGAAGAGGTCAAGGAAGGAGAACGCCTAGTTGTTGTTGCCACTAATGTGGCTGAAACCTCATTGACAATTCCCGGTATTAAATATGTGGTTGACACAGGCAGAGAAAAGGTCAAAAAGTACAACTCTTCCAATGGTATGGAAGCTTATGAAATACAATTTATAAGTAAGGCTTCAGCTGCTCAGCGTGCAGGAAGGGCTGGAAGAACAGGTCCTGGGCACTGTTATCGGCTTTATTCTTCTGCAGTCTTCAATGACATGTTCTTTGACTTCTCAAATGCAGAAATATTGAAAGTACCAGTTGATGGCGTTGTCCTACTTCTGAAGTCCATGCATATTGATAAGGCAAGTTTCTTGCTTGGAATAGATTATTATTCTTTCTGTTCAAAGACTTGGTTGAAATGATATGATCTTGGAGTATTTGTAAATGCTGTCAGGCCCTCCCCTACCCCCCCACCGCCCCACCCCCCGCCCCAAACAAAAAAGAAGTATTTCTTAGATTGAAAAAATTATCAGCTGGTCGACTTCCTCACTCCCACCCAATTAAAAAAAAAGAAGGGAAACTGTCACTATTTGTCATGTTCCTTGCTTGCCTCTAGCAGATTGATTTTTCTTCTAGGTGGATCTGTATGTTATTTGTCTTGGTATTTATTGATTACCACCATTAATATTTATCTTCTGTTATCTCAGGTTGCTAACTTCCCTTTCCCAACTCCACCTGAGCTAACTACCTTAGTTGAAGCAAAACGTTGCTTAATGGTTCTTGAAGCACTTGATAGCAAAGGAAGACTGACACCTTTAGGGAAGGCCATGGCACAATATCCTATGAGTCCTCGCCACTCCCGTATGCTCCTTACAGTAATCCAAATTATGCAAAAGGTGAAAGATTATTCCCTCGCAAATATAGTCTTGGCTTATGCAGTTGCATCAGCATCAACTTTGAGCTTGTCAAATCCTTTCCTTATGGAGTTTGAAGGAAACTACAAAGATCCAGATGGCTTGAAACAGGATGAGAAACCAGGCTCAGTGGAAAGCGAGCGAGACTTGGGAAAAGAGGAAAGAATGAGGATAAAAAAGCTGAAAGAAACTGCTAAAGTGTCTCGTGCAAAATTTTCAAACCCCACTAGTGATGTTCTAACAGTAGCATATGCTCTACAATGTTTTGAACTTTCTGGTAAACCACTGGAATTCTGCAATGACAACACCTTAAATTTTAAAACAATGGAGGAAATGTCCAAGTTGAGGCGGCAGCTCATTAATCTTGTCTTTAACTCCAAATTATGTGATTCGCAGCAAGATTTCTCATGGCGTCACGGGACTTTGGAAGATGTAGAATGTGCTTGGAGGGTTCCTTCGAACAAATGCCCTCTTCAACTGAATGAGGAGGAGATTTTGGGCCAAGCTATTTGTGCTGGCTGGGCTGACAGGGTTGCTAAACGCATTAAAAATGTTTCATCCTTATCGGAATCTGACAGAAAAGTTCATGCTGTTCAGTATCAGGCTTGCTTGGTAAAAGAAATTGTATTCCTCGGTCGACGGTCATCTATTTCAAAATCTGCCCCCGAATATTTGGTCTACACTGAACTACTGCATTCAAAAAGACCATTCATCCAAGGTGAAACTAGCGTGAAAGAGAATTGGCTTGTTAAATATGCTCCATCCTTGTGCAGTTTTTCTGCACCTCTCTCAGATCCAAAACCTTATTACGACCCACTGAATGACCAGGTCCTCTGTTGGGTCAGTCCAACTTTTGGTCCTCATCTATGGAGGCTCCCTCTGCATAGTTTGCCAATCGAAAATGATATGAGCTGGGTGGCAGTATTTGCTTGTTCCTTGCTTGAAGGCAAAGTTCTGCCATGCTTAAAATCTGTACAGAAATTCTTGGCAGCCTCGCCAGCTAGCATTTTGAAGCCTGAGGCATCAGGTCATAAGCGGGTTGGTAATCTTTTAAACAAGATGAGGACCAAGAAGAGAACGATTGATAGTTGTGCCATGCTAAGGAAATTGTGGGATGATAATCCTCGAGAATTGTTTTCAGAAATTTTGGATTGGTTTCAGCAGGGATTTCAAGACCATTTTGAAGACCTTTGGGCAAAGATGCAACTTGAAGTATTTTTAGACCCAAAAAAACGGCTTTCCAAGAAGGTCAAGAGAGAAAGGAACCCATTAACTTTCTATGATTAGGAATATTATATGCCTTTCAGAATCTCTCTCTGCTTATTTTGGATGATATGAGCTCCTTTGGCATGTTCTCACAGGCATAATATCTCTTTCCAAAAATTGTTGGTTTGCCACATTTTGATTACTGTTTCTGATTTGTACTGCTAGGTTTTTGTAATGACATCATTGTATGCCTCCAAGCTACTGCATCATCTAATGTCTTGTATATTGATCTCCATGAATGATTTCAAAAAATTGATTTGGATCCAAATGCGATGTTCTTGTTTCTAGTATCCTTCAGGCAGACGAAACTTGTAAAGATGAAAGCTTTTAAAGAATTTCTTGTGATGAGTTTGTCAAGTACTTCTATTAGGCGTGCTACAAGCATATGGTAACTGCCTAAAACTGCTCTTTGTGCAATTCAAATTGGCTTGTTTATTCTAGCTTTGAGGGGGTAAATGATTTTGTACATTTGAGAAATATCTTCTTAATCCCAGTTTCTTTGGGTGCACCCCATGAGTTCCAACTGGTATTGAAGATTTCTTTCATAGAGAATCATGTCTTTTTGTAGGTTTACTTTTCGAAATACCACTTGTATAAGGGAGGTTTTTGGTGTTCCTAGCTTTATTGTAAGTGTTATAACTCACTTCATTCAAAAATATAAATAAAAGAATTGGCTTTTTTTTTTGTTAGGATGTGGTAGCAATGGCCGACATATTCAGCCTTCGCAAATGCCATTATAGTTTGTCTTTATTAGAAAGTGAAGGGTGAATGTAAATGTTTAGCTTATTGTGATACTCCTAAAGGGGATTTTTGCTTTTGCTAAAACTGAATCCTACTTTTGGAGTTGCAAATGCATCAATCAGACACAGGTGCATGATCTCCTATGGGATGCTTTTGAGGATTTATGTTGATATAGTGCCTATTTATAGTACTGTCGGATCGGCCAATTAGTTATCTAATGTAAGTTTCTCTTGTGTGGATTCTCTATGTAGGTTAAGTAAAATGTGGAAAGGCATGCTTGAGTGCCTATTTCTAGTACTGTCGGAGTGAAGAAATCATTTAAAAAAAAAAGGGTGTAAAAAAAAAAAAACTAGAAAATAGGCAGCACTGGCTCGTCTAAATTCGTCGTCGTAGACGCGAAGGACGAGACGCGACCACGGCCACTACCACAAAACTAAAAAAAACAACGTCAACGNGTAGGCATTTGTACCCTGGTTGCACACTTACCCTTTCGGGCTAAGTGTGGGGTGCGATGTATACCACTATGACTTAAGGTTATACATTATACTAATATGTGTTTTGTATCTTTTGCAGGCGATATGGCCGTCTCCGAAAACGCCAACTAGAAGCCATGGAGCCGGTGGAGTGGTAAGCACCCCCAAGAAAGCACCAGCTGACAAGAATGTAGCAGAGAAGGGTAATACAGAGGCACGAACAAAGGCTAGACATGATAAGGTAAAGACTGGAACTTCTGAGGTGGACCCTGAGGCTACCTATCTGAGCACTGAGGGGCTTGCACAAATACAGCAAAGAGCATGTCAAGCACGGCAGTCTAGGCCAAGAGAGGTTCCGGTGCAAATTAGAGAGGGGGCTTCAAAACCACCACTAGCCAAGAAACGGAAAGTAACTGAGGTGCAGGAAAAGGGCAAGGTGACAAGGGTTGTCGAGTCAGAATCTGAAGAGGACTCAAATGATGAGGAGGAGGCAGCGATTTAGTTACCCGACGGTGAAGGGGAGTCGAGTGTTCCAAAGGCTACGAATGTGTGGGATACGAAGTTCGTGAGTGAAAGTGCGTAGAACAAATGGAAGCATATAAAGACTAAACAAATCAATCCACTACTCTTTGAAAGACCGTTGAATTTTAAGGCTACCAAGTCAAATTCTCCGGACATTTTGCGAGTCATAGAGCAGAATGGGTGGACACGCTTTGCTCAAGGACCGAAGGGTGTAGCAAATTTGACTCTTGTGCGTGAATTGTATGCCAACTGGGACCTGACAGGGGCACTGACATTGTGTGGGTTCGTGGGGCTCAAGTTGATATTTCCGCCTCGGCAATAAATAAGTACTACCGCATACCTGCACAGTCCGACTCAGAGTACTGGAGGAGAGAACAAAGACCGAATGTGAACCACATACTTGAAGTTCTGTGTGGGGGATCTGGACCAGCTGAGTGGCAAGCCGCTGATGGGTTGGCAAAGACGTACATAAACAGGGAGCCTCAAATATGGTTAAATTGGGTCTGCAACAGATTCATGCCAGCAACGCACAAGTCTATGGTGATTTGGGAGCGAGAATTCTTGGTATATGCCATCATGACAGGTATCCCGGTGAACGTTGGAGCAATCCTACGAAGTCAAATGGCGAAGACCAGAAAGAACATGCAGTGGACACTTTACTTTGTGCACACTTTGACCGCATTGCTTGCTAAACACAAATTGACTGAGAGGGATGATGAGATTCATGAAAGCACTGAGTCGGCGGTCCATGATATTTGCTCTATTCAGGACCCATCAGAAACATCTATAAAGAAAAAGGGCCATGGTGCGCGCATCACTGATACGGAGAGCGCACTTCAGCAGTTACGAACAGAGTTAGCCATGCGAGACCGTGCTTTGCTAGCCGCACAGGAGACTAGAGATCAGTGGATGCGAGAGCAGTTCAATGTGTTGCTCGAGGCTGTTCGTGGACAGAGACAGGTACGGCACATTGGAATCCAGACAGATTTTGAGGAGCCGGGGGATGCGGAATTGTTTGCTTTGAGTGCTACTGTTGGCACTGCTACTGAGGTTCGAGATGTGGTTATTGGGGAGGCTGCTCCGACTAGGGAGGGTGAGATGATAGCAGCCGTTGACACATCTGGTGTCACATTGGAGGATCCATCAACATTGCGGACCGAGGGTGCTACCGCTCCCCACCTGCAGCCTGAGACATGATGAGGGAGTTTCTGACACCCACTCTACTATTGATTATTTCTCTTTTGCTTCTGTGATATGGTACAACTGAGGACAGTGCACTCTCTTAAGTGTGGGGTGGGGGTGTCAGAATTTGAACCATTGGCTCTTGTTGGAGAATTGCAGGAGGTCCAGTCAGTCACTATAGGATTATTTAAGGCCTTGTTGTCCTATATCAATGGAACCGGATCTCAATCAAGTAGCTGGTCATTGTTGTCCAAGATTATGCCCTCGAAAAATGAGGAATCAATAGCCAATGAATTTGACAATGTTGATGCTGCTTTATGCTCACTTCTCAGTCAAAATAAGACTGGCCAGTACGAGGAATTGCAGAATCAGCTTCGAGAGATCGAGGCAACCATTGAGGTTCTAGAAGATGGGCTCGAATGCTTCTTCAGGCGCTTAATCAAAACTAGAGTATCCCTCCTCAATATTATGAATCACTAGCTAGCCATGAATAGATGTTGCAGCCCAAAGGGCTATCCAAAAATTTTGTACTTCAGCAACACCTGTACATTTTATATTATACGTCACATTGAATACAAGATCAAGTTCATATTTTGCTGCTAAAAATATCTCCCTCTTTTGAGTTTACTTAACGTTTTGATCTTACGTAGTGAATACAAGATCAAATTCAGTTTCTGCTACTGCAACGATCCTTCCCTTTGCTGATGTTGATTTAACTGGAAATCTAAAGTACTTGGTTAAAATTAAGAAATTTTATCTGCCTCGACTAGTTTTACCTTAGGCTTTCCAGCATAATTGGTTGGTTTGTACATTAAAAATGGTAGACCAAGACTGTCATTTCATGTGTACAGAGTTGTCAAGATTCTTTCTGTTGCAAACTTTTCGACAGCATCAGCAATGTTCGGATGCCTTTCTGTGCAACTAGCAGTTTAAGTTGATTTGTGCTTTTCTGTTTGATCAAAAACTTGGCGAAGATTAGTATTTGCAGGGAAAGTTGGCACTTAATTATTTAAATGCCTTGCACGTTGGGAAAAAAATTGAGCGGCTTACTGTCACGGGCCTGATTTTTGTCCGCCAAAACCAGCCTGTGCGGCAGCCAGCAGGGGCGGATTTACATGGACCCAAGCTTTGTCGAAATTTTTTAATATATATATATTATTATTATTATTATAAAAGCACGAATATTTTACGCTAAATGTTGAAACGACTAAAATATCCCTCAAATATTGATCGACTTTTATACCCCTCAAAAATGTAAATCACTCTTCAAAGAGATAAAATTCTAAGTTGGATCAAATTGTAATTTTCATATCCACAAAGTAAACTTTTACTAGAACACATAACGAAGAATTATAGTAGAAAATGGAGTCACTAGAAAGAGGCAAAATTACAACGAAAATAAAATTAGTTACTCTAAGAACGTAACTATTTCATACTATTAGATAACAATAAGATATCCGAGTATCCAAAGGATCGGATGAGTTTCCATTACTATACATGGAGACATCTTTTAAAGAGTTCTCTAAGATTTAATATCTGAATTGTTTTTGCATAATGTCTCTTGAATTACATTCGCACTGTTTGTTATATTGTTTTTCTATTGATACAGGTTTAATACTTTTGTTCTCTTCTACGGTAATCGTGCACTGAAGATTAATGGGGAAATAAAGTTAACACCGTCTGGTTCCATGTATTATCTCTTCTAGGGTTGGTCGCATATAAGGATTAAACGTTGAATAATTTAAGGTAATTATTTTTGATTTTGCATTGTTATTATTATTAGATTATAAATACTTTTGAATTGATTCTATGTTACTTGTATTTTCTCAACTATCCATATTGTTGGATTTTGCTTTTTTCTTTCGCTGTACTACATCGATGTCGTAGCTTGGTAATTCTTATATCTATTTGGACTTACATTGACTTCTACACTTTTCATATTTTTACTTTTTTATGATAAATGTATTGATATTTTACTTCTAGAAAGGAGAAATTCATGTGATTCTATTTTCTTTATTAAACAATCTACAAACCTAAGTTAGTGTTGGTTTNGATATGTACTGACAGTGAAATCTGCTTTTATTTCCCTTATCCGTGTTAGAGTTAAATTATTGATGTTCTTTATTATTTTCTTGAAATTCTGTATTATCTGCTATCCCCGAAGCATGTTCCCCTCCCATTTAAAATGTTTGTTCTTGTTATTTTCCCGTTGTAGATATAGATATAACTTTACAGGTTTATGTGGTAGTCCTGTCTAGCCTCGTCACTACTTCGCCGGAGTTAGGCTAGGCACTTACCAGCACATGGGGTCGGTTGTGCTGATACTACACTCTGTGCTCTTTTGCACAGATCCAGGTATCGGACAGTAGCAGTAGTTCGGGAGCTAGTCTTCAGTCCACGAGATTCCCGAGGTAGTCCTGCAGGCGT